TCTCCTTGTAGCCCCAGCTGTCCTGGAACTCACTATATAGACCAGGCTGGCCTCGAACTCACAAAGATCCACCTGCCGCTGCCTCCCGAGTGCTGGGATTAAAGGCATGAGCCACCACGCCCAGTCTTTAAACGGCATGAAATTGAAAAAGAGTAGGGGGAGTGGGCCAAGGTTAGGAGGACTGCCCTGCCCCTGGGGAGCCACCTCTACGCTCGGGTTCTCCATGCGTGTGGAGCGGCGCTCGTGCGTGTTATTAACCTTCAGACATGATCAATCACGAAAATTTCGTTTCTCAGCCCAAAGAGAGGGACTTCAGAGAAAGGGAATTGGTTTACCTTTCCCTCCCGCTGGTGGTACCAGGTAGCTGTGTTTGGACAAGGTATTTCAGGGTGCCTGGAACTGAATGAGGAAACTGGGATGAGTCGATGGAGATTCCATGGTCTGAGTGGTCCCCCTCGTTGGTCTCCTTTGCTTTCACAAGAAGCCCTGGCTCCGTAGAGAGCCAGCGAGGACACCACCCAGAACGATTTGGCTCAAGGGAACGATGCGGGGGGGTCGCAGATCTGGGGCCATCACGAGAAAGGGATCAAGGGAAAGCAATAACTGGAGTCTCCTCGAAGATCTGGAAGGGAGGGCAAAGAAGACGACAAAGAAGAAACAGTGAGGCAGGACGCTTCGTAGGAATTATCTTCCCTGCTTTCACCCAATACCCTGCTTATTTGAAAAAAACAAAGCGTGTGCCGTGTACGTTCTAGATTACTCATAGGACCGTCCCCCCTCCTGGGCACAAATCCGTGAGCTGGGTTTCTGATCGCCCTATAAAGCTCCAGAGGCGGTCAGACACCTGCAAAGGAGCCCAGCCGCTCGGCGGTTGAGCAACGGCCTCGTGATTCCCCCGCGGAGCGGGTCCCCGCCTCCCCACTCCGCCCCCGCCTCCCTCAAGCCCAGCAGCTGCCTCTCCGGATCTCTTTCCTCTCCTCCAGGCTCTCCCGAGCCGGACCTGGGGTAGGGCAAGCAAAGACGCAGCTTTAAAGAGGTGACTCAGTGCATCTACGCCTGTACCAGAGCCCAGAGGATCCAGGCGGATAGCTGGACGCTACACCGAGGAGCAGCGAGAGGGTCCAGCTCGCGACCGCTAAGCCGAGGTGGGTAAACGCGTGACAGCCAGGACTTGCAGCGCCCAACCTGGGCTATTCAACCTGGTCCTCTCCGCCTGCGGCTTCTGGTCAACCCTTACCCCTCGCTCGTGCTCGCCCACCTTCCATGACCGAGTACTTCTCCCCAGCTGGTCTCAGCTGCCCCTCAGTGCACAGCGCAGGGACCCCCCTCTTGCCTCACTCTTCCTATCCTTATCTGCGGTTTCATACCCGAAGGATACACACCGGAGCTGAGGTTGGCGCCCAAGTGACACAGGAGCGGTTTTCCCGTGCGCGTCTGGGCTTGGAGCGCCCGGGTCTCCCAAACGCGTCTAGGTAGCGGCTGCAGCGGGTGCGACCGGGAGCGGTAACCTGTTACTTCGCCGGCATCCGCTTTCCACCGGCGGGCCGCGTGGCTGGGACAGTGCGCGCGCAGGGCTCGCTGTGCATCCCGAAAGACATGGTGGAAGCGGAGGCTGGTGGGCTGTGCTCTGCGGGGTCTTAGATTTACCCAGATTAGCCTGCAATTCGTTCTGTCCGCGAGCCTTTGGGCGCCATGGCGAGCACTGAACAGGGGCGCTGAGCTCTGTCCGCCGGCTCGTGCGCTTTGGGCGCAAGTTCGTTTCCCCGGTGACGTTCTCCTTCTAACCTCCGCCACCCTCTTTGGCTCAGGGCAGCGAACTCTAAGGACAAGGCAGAAGAGAAACACGAAAACTGGGATTGAGCCTCTCCCGAGGCTTGATAAAGCTGGAAACAGGGTGGGACAAAAGAGACCGGCAAGGTTCCGACCCGCTGCCTTTTGGCTGTCTGGAGTGCAAGGTGACTCTGGTTCTTAGCGGGTCAAGTCCTAGAGAGAAATACAAACATATGAATCTTTTTTCCTTCTCACCTTGTCTCACCAAAGTCCCTGTCCCCAGAGCGGTTAGCGTCCTTCTTTCCAGGGAATTAGCCAGACACAACAACGAGATCCAGACACCGAACCAGACGTGCCCGCCCCGTTCGCCCTCTCCCCCCCCGTTACCCCCCCCCCGCCTGCCCGGACGCCGACTGGTGGGAGCCCGGTGGGGCTTGTCAGCGCCTTGCAGTTCAGTCTCCACTCCCAGAGTCCTGCACTGGCTTCGGGAGCCCCTCATCTCTGAGCCTCACTCGGGGTTGCGGGGCTGAAGAGTCGCCTAGGGCTACGGTGCCTGCGCCCGAGTCCCCGCCCCCTCCCACTCACCCCGCACCCCAACCGAACCAGCTCGCTGCCCTTGGTCTCTGTTCTGTCTCCGGTGCCGAGACTTCAAGCGGAGCTTCAGAGCTCCGCGCCGCAGAACCCAGAAACCCTCCGTGCACAGCTCTCCCTTCTCTTTCCAGCCTGTTCCTGAGCCCGACCCGCAGAGGACCCTTGAATAGTAGAGACCCCTGGACCACCGAGCTGATGGCGTCTTCCACCCCTTCTTCGTCCGCAACCTCCTCGAACGCGGGAGCAGATCCGAACACTACTAACCTGCGCCCTACAAGTAGGTCCTGCCCCAGTTTCCTATCAAATGGACTGCAGCGAGGATGGGGGCGCTGGGGCGTCGGGAGGCTGCGCTGTAGGAAAGGGAAAGGGGAGAGCGGAGATGATGGAGGCTGGGAACAAATGGGGCCCTATCCCCAGGATCCTGCTAGAGGTCATTTGGCTGTCGGGGACGCTAGGTTACTCCGGGGCAGCAGAGAACAAGGACTTCACAAGGGCCCAGCAGGGGTGAATTGCTGGGGGCTCCGCGGCGGGTACAGGCGCGCTAGGCGAGCGCTGTTTTGTTGTGTTGTTTGTCTGCCTGATGGGACAAGGATCAAAACTGGAGGCGGTGTGAGGGACCTGGAGTCCCAGCGGGAATAGTTTTCAGGCTCCGACTTTCGTTGAGCTAGGACCTGACCTCCTCTTCTCCCCCCCCCCCCCCCCCCCCCCAAGGAAAAAAGCCACAATTCAGCGCTGTGCTCACAGTCTATAATCAGTGGAAATTTCGACGTTAATTGCAGCTTTTAGAAAATTCAGGGTCCCTAATTGCTCCAAATTTGCGTGGAGCTATTGACGAGTGAGGGAGAAGCCAGGGGCATAAAAGGTGCACAGAACTGCTTGAGACTCAATTAATTACATCTCAGAGACAAAGGGGGCGCGTGGGGGGAGGATTGGGCATCATCCCGAGTGGCAAGAGGTGGAGAACTAGGAGGAGAAAAAACGACTTGGCAGGACGGGAGAGGAAAGTACCCCTCTCCTTTATCCTAGGCAGGAGACCTGTCAGTGTGTGACAAGTCCTGGAGAAGAGAGCACGGAAACCAGATAAAGGGGGCATTTATGCCTCCCCACCCTTCCCTTCACCAATCTGTCTTTAATTCGGATTGGCCTTCTACCTCTGTGTAGAGGCTTGGAGATGCAGGATTCTCGTTTTTCTTTTTTCCATGTTGGGGTGAAGTGTTTCCCCACCCCAAACCAAAAATCTATGAGCTCGACGGTACCGACCCTGGAATCTTGACAGAGGAGGAGCTTAGGGTGGACCATGTGGTTCAGAGTGCTTATTAATGTGCGTCTATGGCACTTTGTGTATGCCTAGGAAAATATTTGTCCCCATCAACGAAAGTGGCAAGATATTAACAGGAGAACCCCCTTCAGTCCCTCGGCGCTGGCTCCCTGGGCAGGAGGCTATAAGTCTTTGGGCCGCGTTCCAGTTCCTTGTGCAGCCCCCTCTTCCCTCACGCCGGCAAGCTACAATGACCCACACAACAAAGAGGGGCTCGCTCCGGAAAGCCGCCAGTGCTAGTGGCACGTGAGGGAGGCGCTGGGCTAGGGGCAGGAGCCGGCCTGGCGGAACTCGAGGCCTGCGCGCCTTTTGTCTGTTGCTTGGGCGTGGGTAAATTTCTTTACCAATTCTCCCCACAATTACCCCGCTCCCCACTCCCAAAGCACACTTTTTCTCAGGTCCTGCAAGGTTGGGGAGCACTTGCTTTCACTCACCCTGGATACTCCTGCACCCTGGCAGACCTCCCTGGTTCTCAAATGCTCAACCATAGCTGAAAGCGATAGTCGGAGTTAACACGCGTAGCGACGCGCCCTGAATCCACAGAGGTGGGGGGCTAAGGATCCTCCGACTCTGCCCTGGAAACAGCCCTCTCCTGGAAATACCCAACCTCAGCAGCCAGCCCGGGTGTCAGCCCTCCGCTGCTTGCGCTGGCCCGAAGGCTGGTCCATTTTCGCCCTCCTTGGAGGACACACCCCCAGCCGCTCAGCTGGCTGTCCTTATCTGGCCCTGTAGGTTCTGTTGGAGGTGCCTGAACAATCTTACACTTATTATTCCAGCAACCCGCTGGCAGGCAAGAAGCTCTCCCTTACCTCAACCGATACTTCTCGATCCCTGCTATATCAAAGGGGCTTTCTCTCCACCCCGCTTCCTCTCTGTGATGGTAACCCTCAACTTGAAAAAACTAGACTGTTTCTGAACACCAACCTCTGGCCAAGTGACCTTGGAAAACTCGTTTAATCTCTGAACTGAAATGTTTCGGCTGCAGAGTCTTAGATTCACATGCCTGCAAGTGTTTTGTAAGGTTGTTTCGAGGATTAGATAAGATGTTTAAAATGAGGGCATGTTATCAGGTGGAAACAGCGCTTTACAAGCCAGGTATTATTATTATTATTATTATTATTATTATTATTATTAGGGTTTTGCTGTTGCACCGATTTCCTGTCAGTGGAACTCCTATCTGTGGCATACTGCCTCTCGATGTCAGGCCGTTTCTTCTCCCCGCTGGGGCTCTGCTGTGCCTGAGGTTTAATGGATGTCACTTTACTTATCGCCGCCAACACTCGCGCGCTGCTGGAGGCACGGGTCGGGGTGGGGTGGGGGATGGGAAACGCCTTGCTTTGCTTCACGGGCAGAGGATTTCTCCGTGGGCCCAACACAGTATGCCCGCAAGCACGCTTGGCTTGGCCGCTTCTTGCGTTCCTTGCAGGAGGCAAAGGCAAGTTAGAGGGGCTGAAAACCGCCTGGTTTAAAAAAAAAGAAGCCCTGAGGCCGGGCCCCTTAGTTCCTACCCAAAGGATAGGTGCGGATGAGTTCGCCTCCAGGCTGGAGGTGTGGAAGGACGGGTTAATCAGGGGCAGATTGCGAAGAGGGGGCTGGGTTGAGGACCGGACAGCAGGCGCACCATTGTCTTCCCGAATCCCCAATCTGACTGGAGCAGCCAAGCGAGCCCGATCATCTAGTCAAATACTATTTTTCACCCAATTAATTCATGAACTCTTCCGCGACCCCATTTCATGCCAGTTTATTTTAAGCTGCCACCCAGCTGGAGACCCGCCAAGAAATTATGAGACGTTTGGGTCCCAGATGCCTCTATGTTCCCTTTCTGTGCTGATGTGGCCGTCCTTCGAGTCTGAGAACTGTGACCAGGGACTGGGACTGGGCCTGGCCGGTGGGTGCTGCGCCACCAAAGAGCCAAGGCCTGGCCCTTCGCGAGGGGGTCAGCCTTCGTCCCACCCCTCTCCGGCGCCTGGGTGGGAACAGCTTGGGGGTCCGGGTCCAGTGCTGTCAGCCCCACTTTTCAAAAACACTATTCTGTACCTGAAGCCAGAAGCAAGCAAGGAATGTGAAGAGAGCTGGGAGCACACGAGTCTGTGAGCCAGAGATGTAGCTGCTTGCTCCTTCTTCCCAGCCCAGCTTTTAATTAGACGCACTAAGGGCCCCCCCGCACCCCCCCCGCGAAAACTTTTGCCCCCCACCCATTTTCTCACTGGCCCTAACCTCGCTAATCGCACCTTTCATTTTATTTATTTATTTATTTATGTGTTTTTTTATTTATTTATTTATTTATTTATTTTATTTTGTCTCTCGTCCTAGCGTACGATACTTGGTGTGGCGTGGCCCATGGATGCACCAGAAAACTGGGACTGAAGATCTGTGGTAAGTGCAAAGGAGCTCTGGGGACCCGCCTGATGGAGCGACTCCTGGGGCTTCTGTGTTACATTCTCCGCGCCCCCCCCCCCAGGCGCGACCTTTTCCTTTACAGAGCCCCCCTTCCCGGGATGGAACGCTGTGCGCCCTGGTGGCGATGGAACGGGAGCACAGCGCCCCCTCCCGGCAGCCCCTCTCAGCCAGCGCCGGGCGGCTTGGACTAGTGAGTTCTTACCCAGGTCGCATAGAAAATGTGCCTGGCCTGGATTTCCTGGCCTGCAGACCAAAGACGCTGTAACGGCTTGAGGCTGTGACCGAGGTGTCCCCAGTGATCTCCCACCCCGGATCTGGGTGCCCTGAAAGCGGCTTCCCCAGCTCTAGGGTTTCGCACCCGAGTTGTCACAATGATTCAATTTCGTTCTAAGGGTAGGTGCGGGTAGCACACTTGCCACACGGTTTTCCTGTCTTCGAAGGCGAGGGAAGAGGGAAATGGGACAGGCACCGGCGGGGAGCAAAGAGCGAGAGGACAAGGGTTGGCCTGGCACGGTTTGGCAGCAGGGAACGAAAACAGATCCTAGAGCAGGAGAGGAAATAGAATTGCTTACTAGAGACGTGAGGGTCTGAAATGAAAACGCCCAAGGGATAATTTTTTTTTTTAAGAGAGAGGGAAAAAAAAGGAGATTTGTTCGAAGGGACACGCTTGAGTGGTTCCGGCTGAACAATGAGGACTGGCTTTTTTTTTTTTTTTTTTTTTTTTTATAAAAAAAAAAAAAAAAAAAAAAAAAAAGAGGACGATAAATCTTTCACTGTGATATATCAAAATAA